ATTTAAGGTCATCTGCATATAATAGTTCCCAGGGAAGTCTTTCACGCATTTCTCTATACACCATATCCATTACTAAGATAAATAATAATGTTGTTAAACTGCTCGTTTTGAGCCGATTTTTAAAAACAGCTAACTCAATATTTTTGCGAGAAAATATTGACTTTCTCGAAATTTCATGTCTAGACCTTTGCTCCTGAGCAAAATTTTCAGACTTGCGTAATATTTTTCTGGATAAAAAACTAAGCTAACCGTTTTTAAAAATCGGCTCAAAACGAGCTGTTTAACAACACTAATAAATAATAATAAACTCAGCACGGATCCTTGATGAAGTCATACCTTCACTTCAAAGCTTTCACTATCTCCATCATCTCTTCGTACTGCTGTTTGTGCTCTCACATACATTGGCGTCACTGCCATAACTAACCATTCTTCCACTCCTGATTTTCTCAAGGCCCATCTAGTAATCTCGCGCGGCACCCTGTCAAATGCTTTCTCCAAATCAACAAACGCATAATACAGTTTCTTTTCCTTCGCAAGATACTTCTCCTGCTTGCCTTTCCCCGATGTAAAACCAAACTGCATTTCATCAATTTTAGCATCCCTTATCTGTTTCTCTAACACCCTCTTAAATACCTTCATTACATGTTCCAACGGTTTAATGGCTCTATAAGACCCGCAATCTAAAGGATCCATTTCCCCTTGTATACTGGGATAGTTATACTTCTTCGCCAGTCCTCGAGTTCCTTCTATGACAATTTGATTGGCTAAATTCATTAACCATTTAATCTCTAAGTCATCAGAACCTTTAAACATCTCTGATACCACCCTCATTAAACTCGATGCGTTCCCTTTTTCCATCTTTTTCACTGCTCTCTTTATTTCTTCCTTGACAAATTTACACCCTGGACCTTCTACCTTTGCTCAACTAACATTATTTATTTTTTTCTTCATTCAAAAGTCTTTCCATGTAGATCTTCCAGATGTTTTTAATATCACTACTATCAATCACCATTTTTCCTTCGATATTTTTCAAACATTTAACACTTACCACATCCTGCCTCTTTTTTGCCTTCTGCTTTGTCATTCGAACCACATTTCCCATTCCTTCAGCTCATCTTTAGCAAACTCTGCCTTTTTTCTTCTTGCACCTTTGCTATTAATATTTTAGCATTTTTCGCCATCTTGTAAATATCGTTATCACTATTTTCTTTACTATTATACTATTCTTTGAAGCACCGCCGTTTCTCATTTACAAATTTTGCTATCTCCTTTTCCATCACCAAGTCTCCTTATGTCTAGGCGGCCCTTTTTATTTTCTTTTTTATTATACCATTCTTTGAAGCATCTCCGTTTCTCATTTACAGCTTTCGCTATCTCCGTGTTCCATCACCAAGTCTCCTTATGTCTAAGCGGTCCTTTTGTCCATCCACATACCTCCTCAGTTGTCATCACCCAAGCTTTCTTCATGGCTTCCCACTTGTCATTTAACCCAAATACTTGTGCCACCTCCTCCTCCCTTATAGCCAATGTCACTTTGAATTGACGTCTAGCACTCTCCTCCTTTAATTTAAAACCTTCAGCCTTGGCACAAACTTTCTTTAGTGATCCTGGCGACTTTAAAAATGAGATCTTTTATAACTAGACGATGCTGATTAATACATTTCTCTCCCGGTATCACTTTCACATTTTTTACTATACATATATCACATCTCATTAACAAATAATCCACTGCACTTTTGTTACTACTCGACTTATAAGTCACCATTCTCTGATTCTTTCTTAAACATTGTATTACAGACAATCATATCTATAGCATCACTAAAATCTAAACTCCTCTTCTAGATTTTTCATGCCGTAGCTGAATCCTCCATGTACTCCTTCATAACCCTCACTATTTGCTCCCACATGTCCATTCAAATCACCAGATAGGATAATCCCCTCTTCATTTGCCAGTCTCGATGTCGCCCCAAATAGACTGTCCCAAAATATATCTTTCACTTCTTCCAACGTGAGGAACATATTCCGAGATAATATTATGTGGCTTTCTACCAAAATTCATCTTGATAACCATTATCTGCAGAGTTGTTAAAAGATACTTTTTAAATGGATCTAGATACAGATACATAGTCTCAAAAGTTATCTAGATACAGATACAGCGTCTAAAAAGTTATCAAGATACAGATACAATTTTTAAATGATGCTCTTATAGGTTTGCATAAACCTAAATTAATATTATATTGTGAAAAGGTCATGGTAAAGCAATAGAACTTGTTGTTGCTTCCTCTTCTTCATCGATATAGATCTTAAATTTATAAACTTAAAAATTTAGTTATAAAATAAAATTTACCATTTCCATATTGTAATATTAAAATTTGTATGGTTTATTGATAAACTCGGACATAATATTTAAATTAATGAATATTTATATATATTTTTTATATATAAGTTTTAATATTTTATGTATATATAATTCTTTATTATAGTATTAATAAATATTAATATATAATATATATATATTTATTTATTTCATAAGCTCATATGAAATAAAATAAATTTTACAGTCAAATATTTTTATTTATAATAAAAAAAGGGGTATATAAAATGTATCTTTAAAAGTATCTAAAACAGATACATATACCTCTAAAAAAATATCTAGATACAGATACCTTTCTAAAAAATCTATCTAGATACAGATACTACATTTTTATATCTAGATACTTTAACAACTCTGATTATCTGGTTATCTAGCCTTCTCACTTCGACTACTTTATCCATCAATTTCTCCGCAACCAATACCACAACTCCAGCCTTACGATCATTACTTCTTTGCCAAAAGAATTTATACTTTTCACTAGTCTTGCCGATCATTCTTGCGCCATTACCTTTCCATCTGGTCTCTTTTATACAGCACACATCTATATGCTTTTTATGCAATACATTGACCACTTCTCCCGCTCTTCCCGTCATAGTCGCGACCCCTACTCGATTTCCTGTAAACTAATTACCAGATTTATGACCGTCATAAGTTTCATTTACATGAATCGTAGTTTAACCAGGTTTCCCATCCTTTTTTTTTGTCGTAGGCGGATGAGGAGGCCCAAATGTACTTTGGGCCCCCGCCCATGCTTTGTTTTAACCATAAGGAAATGTTTGTAACAGGTTTTTACAATCGAATGTCCTTCCTGACATTAACCCCTTTAAGTGGTATTTACACCCCGTCGATGTGACGGTCATCCTATTCTAAACCCAGATCACAGGGAATCTTTTAGACCTTCATTAGCCGCCAAAAGACGTTGCCACTCCCCCGCCACGATGAGGCTGAAGGTAGGATTTTGGGAGAGCTTCTACCTCTGTTTCCATTACATAATCTTTCAAAGGGTCTCTTAAGATTTCGGGAAATATTTCGCCTATAAATGATAAAGACATATCTAAATACTCTGCGTATCTTTCATTTCATTCGCTCTCTCTCAGGTACGGATAATAATTTTTTTGCTATATCTATTTTTTCTTTATTCCAGTTTTTATAATTCCTTCTTGGAATTGCTGAGATTAAATTTTTGAATCGATGATAGAATCACCACTTAAAGGGGGAGAATTGATAATATGGAAATTATTTATAGATGATATATTAGGTATTAGATAAAAAAGAATCAGTAATTGATGTAAATGAATTTATGTTACTAGATAAAATTTGTCGTATATTAAACATTTAAAGAAAAAATTATACTGTATTTTATGAATAATTTAAGTTATACAAAAATTGTAAATGAAAAAAATTACAGTAAAATTTATATCATATCTGTTTTTTAATGTTTGTTTTGTTATATTAATGGATCGTCATTTATTTTGGAGGTATTTAGCAAAATAAAAACACATTGTTTCATTTTTTTAATTTTTTGTTTTTAATATGATAAATTACCATATAAACTGATTTTCACTATATAAATGTCATATTAAAGGGCTATTATAGAGCTATAAAATAAAATTTAAATTATGGTTTTAGCTTAATTATTTTTTGAAATATTTAAAATTGGATAAAGTGTATTTTCATATTTTGGCGTTTTTAAAGATGAGCATATATCAAAAAGTAAGCCGATTTGAAAGGTAAAATTTTACATTTTTATTAATAAGTGTATATGCATGATACCGACGTGCAAATTTTTCAAAAAACGAAGGGGGTCGGATTGAGTTTTTTGGAAAATTTAATATGGAATACAGCATACACATTTTAATATTATTAGATAATATATGCTTTCTGTTGAATAAAACTTGTTTTTTTTTAATTTTTATCGATATTCCATATGAAAGCGAAAACGTGGGGTTTATGTTTTTTATATAGATATAGATTGCCCTTTTGCTAATAATCTGATGAAAATCGGAAAAACTCATTATTTTTTTACACCAATTTTAAAATTAAGAATAGGGTTAGACTGCCGTATTTAAACAATTAAAAACAAATTTAAAAATAGAATATACACGCTACACACTTAGGAAAATCACTTTAAGTCTAAATAAAATTCGCCTGGTCAGGCCTACGAGCATACTAGAAGATAAATATGCTAATCGAATCAATCTAATTAATTTTTTTAAGTTTTGTTTTAAAATATGATTTGCTCGAAATCTAAAAATAATTTCTTTAATAAATATTTTTTTCATTGTTTAACAATGGCTCCTTCTAGGCTATGCATGCCATCTTCATCTCAGCGCTGAATGTAATATGAAAAATACTTTAAAAATTTATAAAAATAATTCAAGATTGCACAAAAAATAATTTTCTCATATTGTTAGTGCTTGAACTCGTTAAAATATATGGTAGAAAAATTTAAATAAGATTTGAATATTAAAATGACATTTTTTTAAAAATTTATTTCAATCAAATTACATAATTATTTTGAAATATTCCAATCAATACGCGTATTACCTATTAATTGATTATTTACGTAAATTAACTATAAGATATGCATATTATACCCCATTTTTTAAACAATAATTAATTTTAGAATATGACGCCTTCCACTTCCGCCGTTGATTCACCTAAAAAAACTCGCACATTGAAGAACGCCGAAAAACTTGACCACAGTTTGACATTTTGTGGCATTTTTAATGTCCGGGCTCATGATCGGTCTCAAACCAACTATTTTTTGTCAACTTACCCTGACGCTATTGCAGAGATTAGAGCTTCGTTCTCTCAAACAGATAGGAATCAACTAGACAAGGTTCACTCAATTTTTTAACTAGTTATTATCATTTTTACAACCATTTATTCATATTTTTGCCTCAGTATTATAAAAGTAATCAAAACTTTCTTCATTTTTTATATATATGCCTAAAGTTGACATGATTAATCACGATTTAATTCAATTTTTTATTTTATTGTATTTTGAAGAAAAATATATTTATTCTTTTTAAATAAAAACATTTTATACCTCATTACTATATTTTGTTTTATTATTTTATGGATATGTCATACCAATTCTTCTATTTATTTATATTTTATGTCATTCTTGTTAACTGGGTAATTAAAGGTTGATTCATTAATAAATAATTTGGATATAATATTATGATAAGAGGTTTTTTGATATCCTCTACATCTGTAACCATTTTTGGATATCGGGAATGAGGTTACTATGGAGGGCTAATTTTGTGCTTAACTCAAGATATTTTTTTGACATAGATGTGTAGATATCTCCTGTTGGTTCTCTTTTCGGTAGTGGTAGTGCAATAAAGACATTTTTAGACCAAATTTAATCAAGTCTTTAGAAATACAATCATTTTTAAATGAATTGCCAGCCCATCATGCGTTCTTTTTACTTAAAAGTTATTTCAAAATAAAGATTTTTCTATGAGATCAGCCCCAATCTTTCAATACAAAAAATATATTGTTCAAATATGAGTTATATATTGGCACGATTCTTGAATAAAATTTGCAGATATATCGTAGTTCCAGTTCTCTCCCATCCAAAAATGGCAGGATTGATTACCGTTCATCATCCCTCCGAGTAATTGTCAATCTATCATTAAGCATTAGCAGACCCGCTTTCACACTTCAGAATAGGGTCTCATTCCATTGATTTCCTATTAACAAGTGATTAATTAAAATAATGTCCCAGTCAAGTTATTCTGAATTTCTAAATTGGTTACGGATAGTTGTCATCAATTCCAAGTAAATATATCTTTCTTCTCCTTATTAGAAGAGCTATATATCACTATTTTGTTTCATACGCTTCCTTCAAAATGTGATAATTGTTCCTTACCTTCATACGCCAAAGAGCACTATCTTTTACACTTCAAATATTCCGAAGTCCGCTTCCCAGGGCACATAAACATCAATAATTTGATCTCAAAACTATTAAATAGCTATGGTGTTACTATCAGTCGATTACTTTGGTGTTATGTCCTGTTGCTTGGGATTACACGCATTGATTTTTCAGTATAAACCTATAGAAACACCTCTGTGATTACTTCAGCCGAACTCTTGAAAGTTAATAAATATGTATACATTGAAATTGTAAATTTATCTCATTTGTTACCAATGTCCTTGCTGTTTTAGGTGAGGAATTCTTTAGATAAAAAATTAAGCTTTTACCTTACAAGCCATTACGATGGTAATACATCAAAGCAATTACATTGATAATTATTCTTACATATAGCAATGCAAATAACCCCATCTCACCTTTTTAACTGTCTATTTTAATTGTTTTTTTTATGTATACTGTATTTTTTTTTATAATCTATATTTATTTTTTATATGGATACACATTTGTTTCAAATTCGTTTTTATTTTAAAACTCTTTATTATTTTATAGTAAAAATATACAAATTTAGATTAAAAATTATATAAAACATTTAAAAGCAAATAAAAATAAAAAATTTCTATCCATTTATAGCAAGTAAATTTTTTCTAAATTTTTATCCGATAAGCAGAACGTTTTGTAGTTAACTTATAATTTTCTACGATAAAACGTTCTCCATCGTAGCTAAAGATGGTATTCCATTGTTATATTTTGATGAATACAGGTTTTATTTCTATAAAAATATTTAATATTTATCTTTTGTTTAAAAAAATATCAATAGACCGTCATCATCTGAATTTTCCACTAATTCTTCGTAAAAAAAGAGAATTTAGAATAGACTCTCTATTCTTAACCTTTAACATTTCTTGGTTTTCTACGAGGTTCCTTATATATAATACTAGTTTCATTTTAAATATTCATTCTATGAAAGCCATATCCAAGGTTATTCGAGTTCAAATACCAAAATATATATTATGGAGGAAATAATATAATACTAATCTTCATATATCTAAAAAGAATTAAATATAAGTATAATTGATTTGATAATGATAATTTTAACTTTTATCAACCCTATCTATTACTGCACCATCAACTTTTACAAACTTATAAATTAATGCTCCATCTACTAGTGATTGTAAGTTAAACACTTAATTTTTTTAATTTGAATATTATTATCGTTATTCTGTTCGCAAAGCGAAATTGTATCACCTAACTTTTTTAAAATAAAAATGCGGTGGCTATAGGGTCCATGATCTATTACAATTTATTTTAATATTGTTTTAAAGAATTTGAATTGAAATCTTATTGTAATTAGGCCAGAGCAAAGATGTATCATCTGAAGTCGAACTATCTTATATATCTATAAAAGAATAAAAAAATTTGGATTATTTTAAATTTTAAAATAAAAATTTAATGTAAACGTAAAAAACGAACGCATTCAAAAAAATTAGAATTTTACGTTCAAAACTCTTTTAAATAAAAGGAACGCCCTTCACCATGTTATTTCCAAAATATTTTATTATTTACGCATTAGTTTTTAGTTTCGTTATTTCTTAGATTAAGTTAAGCTATCTATGTCTTCGCTAGCAATTAAAAATGTGCATATTCATGAATTTTATTTTCTCAAAATTTGAAAACAATATAAACAGACCTGACTCTCTTAACAAATATTCGCGCATTTTTTTTACGCGCTTAAAAAAATCATTTTTTTACGCCAAAATTCATTGCATTTTTGTAAATTCACAATTTTAAGGAACATTTTTAAGTTTGAGAAACTTTTCATAATTCAAATTTATTATACTATCCTTTTATTCCTAATATATTTAATTTTAGATAAACTTGATAGTAAAAACTTTTTTGAAGGAATTAGACAACCTCAAGCCATATGGAATTTGAATAGTGATAAAAATAAGTTTAGAAAAGAGTTTCAAGAAATATAATATGGCAGGTTAGGTTAATTAACTATTAGATATTGATTATTTTAATTATTGTTATTAGAGACATATAAAAGACGCATATAAGGTAAGGAAAAGGAAGAGCTTCAGCCTCTGGATTTAAAAGAAATTCTATTCATTTTTAAACATTCTTTGAACCAATGATGGTTGTCCGCTTATGAAAATTTAATCTTGAAGTGAAGAGGTTAGATTACAAAATTTATAGTTTACAGACATGTTATCAGATTAAATATGGAGATGCAGTAAAATTAATTATAAAATATAAATTTGTTATTTCAATTAAATCACATTTATTGCCATCTACTTCTACTTATTACCAATGCGATTTAAATACAGAAAATAATGCAAGCCAAAATAGAGAGAATGTAATAAATTCCATTTAATAAAAAAATATTTTATTTTAAGTTAACCCAATATATATATGTACTAATTCCTAAGCAACAACTGACGGAATTAAAAAAAGAATAAAACATATAATAAAAAAATATTATATTGATTATTGATATAATTACATTTTTGTTTATTGTATTTTATCATAATAACTAATTAAAAAAATATATTATCATATTGGTGCAAATAATTTATATAACATGATCATTAATAAAATTCATATATTCCATTTTTTAATAAATTAATCTTTGTAGAATCTAATAATAAATATAACTATATTTTTAAAAAATACATAAAATTATTTTTTTTAAAATCTATTTTACTAAATATTTGTTCATAGTAAAAACATGAATAGTATCATTTAAAAAAATGAAATGTTTAAATTAAAATTAGGCGAAAAAAGGGTAAATACTATTTCGCGCGGAAATAAATCGCCCGAATAAAAATGGTGTATTTGCGCTTTTTTTAATTGCCTGCGAAGACGTAGCGGGAAATGTTGGGAAATTAAAAAATACTACAAATTACACTTAAAGCTTTTAGTTTTTTAATGAATAACTTTATTTAGCGAAAATAAAGAAAAACTAAAAATATATTGTAAACATTTTTTTTATTGAATAACCTTTAATTGACAACAAAGCATTATATTTATTTAAAATTAATGGGATGCAATTAATATAGTATAATCGTCTTCGCAATTGAAACATTATTATAACTTGATATTGATAAATCGGAATCTGAACTATTTTGATTCCTGAACATTATATCCTATTAGTGTGATTCTTTAAATGCAGAATAAGTATATCAACTTTCGGATCACTCATTTATTATTCGATTTCTAATTTTAGTATGAACCTTCCTAAATGCTTACCAAACTCTTTCTGATGAAACTTGAGAGTGATATCGAAAAGCATCTTACTACCACTTGACAAAGAGGTTGATTTATATATAACCCTTTTCACTATATGAGAGGTTTGGTATGGGTCGAGCTCACCCTTATGCCAACTCCTTTATAGAAGCATTTTTTTGAACGATATTCTTTACAAAATTACCCATAATTTCTAATATTGCACATAAGTTGACTAAAATTGTATCTTTTAAGTTTAGGACTACCTAATTCACGGTCTGATATTTCAGACCGTAATATTGAGGATCCATAAGATTTGTGGCATAATGATATTATGGCAGCAGAATATTTTATTAAGAAGTATCTAAACACTTTTCAAATCATTTTCATTAAAAATAGAAGTTGATGAATTTAATTTATCTCTTGCATCCTTAATTATTTCCGATACCTCAGATAACTTCTTCTCCCTTTAATGGCAATTTTCAGGTTGGCCAGTTTTCCGTCTGGTTTTTCTTTTCCATTTCTGGCGGTTCTGAGCATCAATATTTCTAAGATTCATCACCGTTATGACCTTTATCCACGTCATCTGGGCCTTCCTTTAGGTTTTGATCCTCCTACTTCCATCAAGATGAATATCTTTACTCAGTCATCTTTTGTCTTACATTCCACATGATAAACAAAACTCTTCGCACAGCTTACGTAAACTTTCCTTTTTAACTTCAGAGAGAGGTTTTATTTGTTAGAATAGACGATATCTCTTTGGACTTTCTCCAAAACTTGTCTGACGCTTGCAACAACGGTAGAATCTACAACACCATCTGCGACTAGCATATCACTCAAATAGCAACACTTTTCTCAGGGTTAACCCATTGCCAATATCCAAACAACCATTTTCTACGTTATCAGTATTATGTACCCCATTTATGCAGGTTCTACAACTATAGGTCATTCTTGCTAACGTCAGACTTCCTTTTATCTCGCTGCATATGCACCCATTTCTGGAATCTGTTGCATTGAATTGAATTTCTAGCAACTCCTCTCCTACATACACCTCAAGGCCAGTTATCGGATTCCTCCGCCAATCATCACCTTTGTCTTGCATTCATTTTCAGGCCCATTGCTTCCATAGACTTCTTCCATCTAAATATTATCTCTCAATTCTTCCTCACTGTTTGCCATTAATACAAGGTCTTGTCAATATAATAGCTCCCAGGGAAATCCTTACGCATCTCTTTAGCCACCACATCCATTACTAAGATAAATAATAATGGACTCAGCACGGATCCCTGATGAAGTCCTACCTTCACTTCAAAGCTTTCATTATCATCATCCGTATACCGGAATTTGTGCTCCCACTTACATTTCCATCAATACCATAACCAACCATTCTTTCACACTCTGACTCTACAATTATAATTTTGTAATAAATAAATTTCTAAACAGTATATCCTCTAATATATCCCAGCATCCTTCTTTGTCTAGTATAATATGTCTTTTTCGTTTATCTATAAATAAATTTGAAATTTCTAGCTAAACTTCCTTATTTTTCACAACACCTTGCAACATTATAACGATACCTCCCTATCACATCGGACATGAAATTTTAAAGAAGACTTATGCCTTCATATTTGTCTTTCTTTAAAAGTTACCGATAAAACACCATTAAATTATATATATTTAATAATCTGTTTGGTTTTAATTATGTTCTTTTTTATGAAACCTATTTCGCATAAATATTTAATGACCAGATTCAGGCCATGTGCGGCAGAGCTAAATCATTCAATATTATTATATTTTTCCTTTGCAAAACCCCAGGCCTTTGCATATTTTTTATTATCGAATACTAGTGAGGTAAATATTTTGCTAGACTCTGCAGCTCAGGTGCTATATAATTACCAGTGTAAACATTATACCTTATGTCAAAGGATTTAAAAAATGGTTCCTGGAATCATAGGTTGAAATTAATTCTATCTGCAAATTCTTGTCCAGTCATCGTTAATAGGAGTGAAATCTTTTAAAGCGTCTAATTTGTTATTGATGAAATTCGTCGCCTTATTTATTCAAATTTTAATAAAGTTTTGCTAATTGTGTATCTAAAAAATTAATAAAATATTTTTTTTCTACCAATTAAAAGGGGAAATTTTACATAAAAATTGATAGTGCCAAAAGTTTCTTCAGTTATGGAGTTAAAAAAAATTTTAATTTTAGAGATGATACATTATTAAATTTATGTTATTTTCTTTAAGTATATTTAGAGTGGTTTTATTTATGTTTTAGGGCTATTATTTTATGTTTCGTTTGGATATTATTTGGTTAAAATACTGGAAACTGGTATTCATATAATATCTTCATCAATCTCATTACATTGTTAGATAAAATTTAAAAAATGAATTCGAATTAAATATTAACATTATATGTGCGTTATACTTCCAGGCCATTCTTACCAGTTTTTAAAAAAGTTGAATCAGAATCGAGCTCGGCTAAAAAACGGGTGCAGAACCCTGGATTTCGCTATATCCTATGTCCATTTTAGTTTTGAAATAGAATTACTCTCAGCTAAGGTTTAATAGGTATCATTAAATTTAAGCAGCCATATTTCAATATTGGATAGCATTGCTTTAGTAAAGATCATTTGAACGAATTTTAAAAATGGAATAAATGAAAAGTTAAAGTTTATTCATTATATTATTAGGGAAATTTTTTAAAATTTATGATTAAAAATATCTATTTTTATAAAAACCAACTTTGTTCACAGAATTGCCAAACGAATTTTGATGTTTGCCTCAAATTCGCATCTAGAAATGAAACAGATCAGGATCTCATAACTTTGATTGGCAAGAAAGGATCAGTTGACAAAGCTAAAATTTACCTAAAAAAGGCTCTCTCGGAAATAGTATAATTATTCTTAATATTCGATAACTATTTAAGCTCGTTCATGTACCAAAGTAGAATATATAATCTGAAAGTCGGGATGGTCCGAAAGAGGGCGAGTCAAACAAAAATTAAAGGTCCACAACTTTTGCAAAAATTTTTATGGAAGAGCTACCCCACGCCGAGTTTTAGCCATATCACGTCAATACCGCGAAAGGTATTATCGCGAATGTAATACTGTGAAAATAATATCATCAATGCACTATAGAGAATGATTGTCGTAAGGCATTATCGCGAATGTATCTAAGTGAATGCATTATCGTTAATACAATAGTGATTTATATTTGACAAATGGTTAATATAAATCAGAGACCTGCAGAGGTACCATTTACACTGCCCGGCCCGGATTTAAAAACAAAACATTTTGGCCCGGTTCAGTTTTTTAAAAATTATATTATATTTAATTTTTAAAGCTAATAATGGCGATTTAAAATACACAACCCGGCCGTATACCCTATCTTAGGGCAGGACCTGCAGGTCTCTGATATAAATAAAAGTCCTTTGCTTGTTTATACATTTTTCCCACTTTATAATAAGGAGTTCATCAATTAATATATTTTACCTAGTAACTTTTGCAAGAAATATATGTGCATTATAGCGTAAAGATATTGTAGCAATTGCATTACTGCAGAAATAATGTCGCAAATCCATTACAGCGAATTTATTATAGCATGCATTATCGTGAATGCAATAGTGATTTATTTATATTTGACAAATAGTTAATATAATTAATATAAAATATTAAAATTGCTTGATTACTTTATAATAAGAAGTTCATCAATTAATATATTTCTATTCTTTAAATATTTCGGAAACTATAATTTTGTTACCTTTTGAAAGTGTAGGGCCAATAATATTTTTCCACCGGATTTCTTTTTCTCTAAAGATATTCTTTAAACTACTGCTATATTCTAACTCATTTAACAAGTTCAGACTTTTTTAAAAAACTAAAGATACAACCTAATTGACGTTTATATATTATTATTTAAGATGGCGTTTTAAAATATTTATAACTCTAAAACACGTCACTTGCTATTATATGAAATTTCGTATTTTATTAAAGTATATATTGCGTTTATTATCCTCACTTTTTTACTAAATAGATTGAGTAGTTTTTTTGAAAATTAGAAATACTAATATTTGACAAAAAAATAACTTTAAGACCCTCATTTATTTTTATTTATTTAAAAATAGGCTAGACATGTTCCCATTATGTTGGTCTAGATAGACGCTCGCCTTTTTTGAAATTTCAAGGCATATTGTGATATCTTATAGAATTATCAAAATAATAAATATAATTTATGTATATTATTTTAATCTATCCTTTTTTCTTGTTTAACACCTAACAATCAACGCCAATTTAATTATTTCTTGCAAAATTAGGGCCATAGTTCATCACTTTTTCTATCAGGTGCATTTCAATTTTTCTTATGGCATAATTTAAAAATTAGATCTTCTCTTGATAATATTTTTAATTTACAAAATTATCTTATATTTTTCATTTAATAATAAAATTTGTTTATAACCGAAATATTTTGTGTTATAATTTATGATTTAGGAGAAATTTTGAAAAAATGCGAAAGTCCGGCTACATTTTTTTTAAATATTATTAGCAATCATATTAATCGCAGTCATTTTAATCCAAGTTATTTTCAATCATTAGTTTCCATAGAAAGTGATAACTAATGTTTTTGACGTGAGAAATTAATATTATTAACAATTGCAGTCAATTTTCTCTCAATTATTTTTAAACACGATTTTTAAATCAAATAAGGCCTCACTAATGTTTTTGTGCTAAAATATGGGTTGAAATCTTCAAAAATGATTAATGAGCTTAGTAATAATTATGTTAAAAACACCTTTTGAAGGGAACAGAGAACGCGATCAGAATATCTTTATAATGTCATTTATTCATAAACTGATATTTACCTTGTGCAATGGGTTTTGCTCTTCTTTTAAGAAGTAGCTAAGTATTTTTTAATAATGCTTCAATTCATTCAATTTCATATATTTATTTTGATCTGTATTCATTTTTTATGTAATTCAATTCAAAAATTGTAATTTATATCATTTTTTGATAATAAATTTTTATAAAGTCCTTTTAAAGCTTAATCAAAATGAAAGGGCCAACGCTTAACACAATAGGACATGAAACAATATTCAGCATCATAGTTAGGTTGTAGAATTGAAAAGCTTCACATCTCAAAGCTTAATTTATTTAATACTTTCTGTAAATGTCCTTTTATACCACATTTATGACAAATTGCATTTAAATTTGGGCACTTTGGTTTTAAGTGTTTTTCTAATCCACAACTAACAAATCATTTCTGATACTGGTTTATAATTGTCATACTTCTCCCTTGTCACTGTTTTTGAAATTTTATTTATCTCATTTTCTGCTGATAATATTGTATACGTTATTATTTCCGTCGTCTCCATTGATGTAGCGATTTGAACAGCCTTTTCCCATGTCAAATTTGGAGTGTTGATTAACTTCATTAATATTTTTCCATTCGTAATTCCCGACACTAATTTATCACTTAACGCTGTATTACATATATCTAAAACCACACGTGTTTGCTTTTATCTTTAATTAATTTATTTATTCTTTAAAAGTTTCTCCTTTTCCTTGTTCCGTTTTGAAAAAATAATATCTCTCCAGTATAAAATTTGTCTTCTTCGATTAATAATTTTATAAAAATTAATTAAATCATCATATGACGTTTCAGCTGATCATCGGTAAAAACAAAGTATATAATCTTGAATAAATTTCTAATCCTATATTTGCTAAAACGTATGACGTTTCAGCTGATGCCTTCGGTAAAAAACAAAGTAAATAATCTTGAATAAGCTTCTAATCCTATATTTGCTAAAACGATTTTTTGTCATCTATTTTATATATTGTATAAATAATTTCCATTTTTGATAAATACACCTCTATATCACACTCTTTTATATTGAATTTTTCCATTTGAGACTGCGCTATTTGTTTCACGACTAACATACTAACCACCGTTTGGACATCCTCATACATTGTCATCACTGCATAAACCAACCATTCCTCCGCACCTAATTTTCTCAAAGCCCACTTAGTAACTTCACGCAGAACCCTGTCAAACGCCTTCTCCAAGTCTACAAATGCGTAATAAAGTGTCTTTTTCTTCTCTTGATACTTTTTGCATTTGTCTTACCACGAAAAACACATTTAAAATAAGTTCCTTTACCTTGTGTAAAACTAAACAGCATATCAAGGATTTTTACTTGATCTCTGATTCTCTTCTCCAAAATTCTCTCGAAAATTTTCAATCCATGCTCTAGGAGCTCAATTTCCCGGTATGAGGCACAATCTAATGGATCACATTTTCCCTTGTAAACCGGTATAACTACGCTTCCTCTCCAGTCCTTGGGGTTACTCTTTCATAAAAGATAGAATTGCACAGGTCTGTAATCCATTCCACTCCAATTTCGACCTCTCCCTTTATCATTTCCCTAACAACTAATATTTAGCTTGCTGCTTTGCCTCTCTTAATATTCTTTAACTTTCATAACTTTTTCCTTCCCAAACTTATAAGCAGGACCTACTTTATCACACCACATATCCCACTCATTTTTCCTATTAACCCTTTAAAGTCCTGTGAGCTAATTTGACATCATCATATTGAATGTTATTTTTTAACGTTTAAAACCACTCAATGATTTAATTTAACATTTTTAAATAAATATACAAATGATTTTATCAATAATAAAAAAAAATTATGCTATTGTTTTTATTTTGACTATATTTCCGATTTTTCTGAATTACTTGATTTTATTTAAATATATTTTAATTGAAAAATTTTGAAAACTGTTTATTTTATAAAGAAGACAAAATATTCAAATATGTCATCATGAATTTATATTTTTTTAGAATTTTAATTATTTTTGTAAATATAATTTTAAAATTATGATGCCAAATTAACTCATTGGGAATTTAATAAGTTATTTTATTAACATTGAATAAATTTTATTTTTATGGGTGTCAAATAAAATAATTATAATTGAAGGTGATATTTCGGAAACAGATATTGATAATAGTGATGATAATTTTAATCATCCTATTGATAATATATAGATTCGCCCATAAATGCACTCCACATAGAACTTGATAATGTTCATGAAGATCCAGTTTTCCTAATCTCAGTAGTAATTGGGTATTAAATATTGAATCATTTGATACAACATTTTCTAAAAAATTTTCTAATCCCCCAAATAATACTCCAACACCATATCACTTCGAATAATATTTTATTTGATAGATACCTGCATTGTGAATGCATGGTTATTGTATTGAAGACATTACTTCAAAAAATGAAAAATCTTTTATATAAATTTATAACATTTAAATCTCAAATAGTTCCTGACTTGTTAATAGCAGGTAAAATTGGTAAAAAAAATAGGGAGACCATCAAATGATAATCCTAAAATACATAAATACAAAAAGGATCTAAGTTACCTCAGATAATAACTGACGTTAGATATTATAATTTAGGGCATTGGCCAGAAGTTTCTAAGACTCGAAAAAGGTGTAAATTATGTGTTATCGCATATTTAAAGACTATTTGTGAAAAAATTTATGCTATAACTAGGTAATAAATTTTTAAAAATTTTTCATAATATATAAATAGATATTTTTTATATACATGCATTTCGCTCAATGATGCCTTGTATCATGATTTTTTTTTACCTGTATACTATGAAATAAAAGTCGAAATAAAAATTTTACATCCTTGATGTATAAATGAAGATTTTTTATAAAAAAAAAATTTTTATTTTAAAAAGTCGAGCTTTAAAGGGTTAAACAATTTTTCCTTATATTCCATGTCTCCTTACTCTTTCAATGAAAATATTCCCAACTACATTTCTCACAAACCGTCCACATCCTGTTACTTTTTCATTCTTTGATGCGATTTGAATAATATTTTT